GGTTACACTGTAAGTGTAGCGGGTTATCTTGTAAGTGTAGCGGGTTATCGTGTAAGTGTAGCGGGTTATCGTGTAAGTGTAGCGGGTTATCGTGTAAGTGTAGCGGGTTATCGTGTAAGTGTAGCGGGTTATCGTGTAAGTGTAGCGGGTTATCGTGTAAGTGTAGCGGGTTATCTTGAAAGTGTAGCGGGTTACACTGTAAGTGTAGCGGGTTATCCTGTAAGTGTAGCGGGTTACATCGTAAGTGCGACAGGTTATCCTGTAAGTGTAGCGGGTTATTCTGTAAGTGTAGCGGGTTATCCTGTAAGTGTATAACACTCATAAAATTTCACAAAATAGCACTCACAAAATTGCCAAAATTGCACAAAATTCCAGTCTTACAAACTCCAAAATTGCACAAAATTCTACAATAACGAAATTGCACTATCAACACTTTCATTATCTACTTTCAAAAACTTACAATCTAAAACAATATGTTACAAATCAAACTCCAAAATTACACAAATCTTCAAGGAAAACTCCAAAATTTCACAATCTTCAAGACAAGCTCCAGAACCGCCCCAAGCTCCTCCCTGTCCCGTTGACGCCCTCGACCACCGCCGCAATCACCTCGTTGACGCCCAAACCGCTGCCCTCCATCACCCGCCACCCAGGTCCGTCCAAGCCTCGACGCCAAGCTTCCCCAGATCCATGCTCCGCGCCCTAACACCTCTCCCCCACCACACCGAGCACCACCTCCGTTCACCACCTCCCTCAACGCTACCTCCGGCCTCCTCCGCCACCCGCAACGCCGCTCACCCTTGCCTTCTTCCCCGAACCCGACTCACCGCCCACTCCATCTCCTCTGTTCACCTTCCTCAGCCACGCCAAAACAACCCGCCAAGCCCAACGCACCGGCCAGCCCGCGTCTCCCTTGCCCACCACCTCCGCCTCCATCGCTGCCTCCTCAAGCCGCGCCTCCACCGCAAGATCCTCGCCGCCTGCCGCGCCTTCCAGAGGTGGGATCGGAGGAGGAAGACAAAGACTTGAGGAAGAAGGAAAATGAGGAGAGAGAAGGGGGGCTGGTTTAAGTAGGGTATTGAAAGGGGTATTTTGGGGATTTTATCATGTTGGTGTATAAATACAAGTGCTGTATATACTGTATTTTAGAAATTGGGTTTAAAGACAAAAACAAAAAGAAAATTGGGTTTAAGAATACAAAAAATAATGATTGGGTTTATAGGTAAAGATAAGTAAACAAATGGGCCTAGAAATAAAAAACCCTTAGAACTAACATGAACTGTTCTAAGACCTAGCACTGTTCTAAGAAGAACTCAAATTAGAACTAACATAGACTGTTATGCACTGTTCTAGAACTAACACGAAATTAGAACTAATATGAACTCCAATTAGAACTAGCATGGACTGTTATGCACTATTCTAGACCTAGCACTTAACTTAAAAATGAAATTAGGAAAAATTTCGTCGAGTCCCCAAATATTGGATAACCTAGCCTAGCACTTACTACTTTTTAGGGTTGGGTTAGTTGGAACGAGTCTTTGTTGTTCGTCATTTCTGGCCTTGCTATTCTATTGCACCACTTCACATGACCAAAAGGGCTTGAGTGGCTTCCTCCGTACTGCCAATCCCAGATGATTTGCGTGGTGCGACTGAAGACTGTGATCTGGCTCCGTCTTTGTCTTGCCGTTCACAGTGATGAACGACTTCGTAATCGCTAATGGATGTTGCTTCCTTAGACGATATTTTTATGGCGAAAACCCTTACCAATATTGAAATCCGACGAGTTTTTTGAGTTATTTGATTTTGATGGTCCTCAGCGGTAGAAGAGAGAGGGTACTTGAGTAGGGAGTGATGCAATTACTGAGTTCAATCAAATCAAAGGATGAATTTGTAACTTTCGCTGGGTTTTTATCGTGGTCTGCTACTTTGGGGCCTTAACACTAATACGTTGTGTATTTGGGGCTGAATCACATGGGCTAAAATATAAAGGGCCATGTCACATGGGGTTACTACTTTTGGGGCCTCAACACATTTTCCCCAAATCTTTAACCAAATTTTGATATGAAAAGATTTCAAACAGTTAAACTAATTCTCTATCCTATTAGAAGATGACATGTGTCCAACTAATTCTAATTTCCTAGAATTCTCATTAAATTAAAACTATTCATATCCATAGAAATTTATATCCATAAAAAAGTAAAAAAATCTAATAATCAAATATTTGTCCATTCTAAACAAGTTGCAACTATCCATAATACTTCAATAAACCTCCCATAAATTTGAATTGAGCACTAAATTTCCTTGCAACCCATACCAAATCCTCTGAAAGTTTGATAATTTCAGAAAACACCCAAAACTCCCTTACAACCCTTACTAAATCCTCTGAAAGTTTGATAATTTTAGAAAACACCCAAAAACATTTTTTTTGCACTTGACCTCCATAATAGAGTTACCTAAAATTTTATATCTACTAAAATAAACCACCAAGTATAGTATATACCCCTCAAATCATTAGCTACCTAAAAATCTAAAATCATAAATAACACGTAGAAAAATTCAAAAGCTACAAACAACCCCTTTTAAATTTCTAAGAATTATGGAAAACCCACTGTCAAATTAGGATATTACAAATAAATGCTTGAAAAAACAAAAAATATACCCCCCTGAAAAAACTCAAATTGCAAAAAACACTTGAAAATATAAAATTTGAAAAAAGGCTCTTAAAATTCTAAATGACCCATCAAATATTTATAACCTCTTAAAAATCCCAAAAAACACATTTTTTTACTATGGTATGTGAAGAAGAGAATAGAATTTTTATAAGATAAAGTAGATAGCTTGAATGATAATATTTTTTCGATAAATTGATAGTTAGAAATTCTACTATGCCTAGAATTATGAACATAGGACTTTCCATAACCATTATATCCCAACCTTATGCTTTTCCTACACCAATGATATATTACAACATTATTCTATTTTATTTTGTAATTTTAGAAAATTTTGAGGGCTATTTATAAATTTGAAACTTTTAGAGGGATAATTGTAATATTTAAAACTTTTAAGGGTTGGTTGTAAAGTTTTTAGTAGATGTTTTGTAAATTTTTCATTAGTTTTTTTTATTTTTTTAAACAAACTAAGAGGCTATTTGTAAATTTTGGGCATATTTATAATTTATAAAACATTCACAACCATTAAAAAATTTTAGAAGATTGTTTGTAAAATTTTTAGGGATGTATTTGTAGTTTTTGAAATTTTTAACAGGTTGTTTGTGTTAGATCTCATGTTTATGAGCTCATTCCCTAATCTTGTTTTGATGATTACAAACAATTCCTAACATTATGTGTCGAGTTCTTACATTTGTCTTGTTAGGTAATCTACACAAATATCTTTGTCGGAGGTTGGTTGGATTGCGCCTACACGATCATATCCATTGGATGATGAAAGGATATCGAAATGAAGTAATTCGCAATTCAAGTCAAAGATTCAAGTTCAACCTTCATCCATGTTTACTAATTAAGACGAGCTTAATTGAATATCAAGATTGCTTGGGTATAGTTTTTATAGTTTAGGGTTTAGACTTGTATGTTAATACTTAGAGCTCAATCTTATACACACATACACATTTTGGTTTTATAGTTTTCAAATTTGAATATGAAACAAATTTACTTATTTATACACATACATACATGTTTCATATTTATCATTTTTGGTTTTGGTAAATAATGTGTTTAGCCACATAAACATGAAAACTTAATACACATATATAAATATATTTTCATGTTTATATGTGCTTAAGATGATTTCATTAATCAACAAGTTTAAAATTAATGAAATTATATTTATTTACAAAAATATGTGTTTATTGATTAAAGACTAAATTACACTATTTTATATCTTTTCCTAAGTCCTTTAATCCATTCAAAATGAATATGTAAATTTATTTGTCAAAAACTTGTGTTGTTAATTTTCATGTTTTTGGACTATTTTGCAAAATAAAGAGATTTCTCAATTGGAAAGTGCAAATTGAAAAATCCTTTTTGTAATATGTTTATTTTTATGTTTATAAATATTTTCCAAAGTTTTACATTTTTTAAAATTTATATGCTATTTTTTAAGGCACTTCAAAACTCAGATTTCATACATGAACAGTGTTTGTGCACGTTCATGAGTCGACTTATAAGGACTGACAAGTCGACTTATGAACTACTCTAGAAAATGTATTTTCTATCTACTGAGTCGACTTACTATTCCAGCAAGTCGACTTATACTAAGTCGACTTATGTCTTTTGTCAAGTCGACTTATGAGTTGTTTACATATAGTGTTTTTAATCTGTTAAGTCGACTTACTGATCTAACAAGTCGACTTATTACATAAGAGTCGACTTATAATTTCTAACAAGTCGACTTATAATTTTGACAAGTCAACTTATAAACTAGTCGTTGCACAATAACAGCTATTTTCTAAATTTTATTATTTTGTGTTTTTATGGGTTCTTGTGTACTTTTTGGGCTGGGTTCTTCTATCCTATATATACCCCCATTGCATTTAACATTCTAAAATACTAAGAGAGTTTTAAAAACAAGCACTACAAGAAATCTGGTATTTAACGACCAAAATTAGTGAAGGGACCAGTTGACCGTCATTAATGTGTATACAATAACGACGGGTTTTAATCCCTTCGTCGAGTGATTACAAATATTAGGTAAATAATGTGATATGGGATAACGGATTTCTAATCTCTTCGTTGATTTGATCATAATACCGTCGTTATTGGGTCTCCTTAAAAATGAAGGGATCCATTACCTTCATTGATGGGACTCCTAATCATAATTAGACTAAAATTAACCTATTGCTATTAACACATCCCACATTAAAACCCGAAACCCCACATTAAAACCCGAAGCCCTAATTTTACAAACCCCTTAACTCCTAATCATCCTCTAACCGCAATAATAATCCATTACAAGCCCCAATTTTACAAACTCCTTCAGCCGTTTAACCCTAACCCTATTTCTTTCTCTCTTTCTCCCACTCCCTCCCTGCCTCCCACCGCCTCCTCTCTCAAATCCATCTGCAAGCTCCAACGATTACCCGATGTCAGCAATAAAATCTTCTCTCTCTCTCTCTCGTAAAGTTCTAGGGTTTCGACTTTCGAATTGAATCGATCCTTGGATTTCGATCAAGATTCAAATGGGAAGGAAGAGGAAATCAGAGGCATCAAGGCTCGATGAGATTGATCGAAGCATGTTTTCGACCTTCTGCAGCGCTGCGAACTCCCTCTCGCAGCTCTACGCGCAGGCTATGAACCAGCAGAAGATCTCTTTTCAGGCCGGAGAGCGCCATGGATTGGTCAGTTTCCTCCTTTCTCCTTTTCTTATGCTTTAAGTTTGAATCTTGTTGTATATTTTCGGTGATTTTATAATTTCCATTATGTTGTTAAGCTTGATGTTTGGTTTGCTTATGTCTATGTGCTTACTTATTCTGATGAATGGACGTGTTTTGGATCAGTTAATGGGTTGGAATTTTGGCGAGTGAGGAATTTTAAGGAAATTTGGGGGTGCTGCTTATAACGGAGTTTAATTTGGGGGTGCCGCAAATACTGTTTGAATGCAGTCAAGACCTATAGTTTATTATACTTTGCACTTATACACCCTCTATTTTTGTCATTCTTTGTTTGTTAAACTTTCATTCTAGAGTTCGGCATTCAAATTTCTTTGTTAGATGCATGCATATAATTTCAATTTAGAGGGATAAATCAGAGTAGTAGAGTAGCGTAATTGAATGTTTTATAACTTGCATTGCTTGCTATAAACTATTGTTGGTCCTGTAGCTATCATATAAAATGAAATTGACGGGAATTTTCTATAAGAGAACTACCAACAATACTTATAGATCATAATGTTAAATAATTTAAAGTATGTGCAACAATTGAGTTTGACAGAAATGAGAATATTGCGATGGACAATGGTTGTACACTAAAAGATGGGACAAGAATTAAGTGCATTCATAGAAAGTTAAAAGTTGCTCCTATTGAGATAAAATGAGAGAATTAGTTCATATGGTTTGATCATGTTCAAATGAGATCACTAAACACTGTAATTAGAAGAAGTGATAGATTATAATTAGTGGAGGAAGGGTAACTGGAGGTAGGCTTAGAATATGTGGGAAAGCAATTAAGAAGGATGTGTAATGGTTAATTTGGTATAAGCAATAACTCTTAATGGAAAGAATGGGATAAAGGATTTGTTGTCGATATCATTGCCAATTTAGTGTTCACTGACTAGAAAAACTAAAATTTGCACGCACTCTAACTGTAGTCTGAAGTGCCTCATATCGAATTTATATAGACATATTTTAGCCTATATTTTCTCTGTCATCTATGTATCTTATAATAAGAAAATTGCTGATTACCTGACATGAACTGACCATGTTATTTTAGACCTATTAGCTATGAACGAATGCTCTATATTATTTTAATATGTGGTTTTTGAGTATTGGATACTTTGATTTTATTAATAAACTATCTACATCTTTGTGTAGGAGATTCAAAGAGAAAAAAGAAGCTGCAGAACCAGAAGCTGATCCTGAAAGGGACCAGAGAACTGTTTTTGCTTATCAGGTAATAGTTTGTAGTTTATGTTTTCACTTCATTTATTATTGGAAAGGGGTATTCATTTCATCCATAAACAACCAACTTCTAAAATTTTTGTCTCTTTTGTGATTTTAGATGCCTTTGAAAGCGACAGAAAGGGATGTTTATGAATTCTTCTCGAAAGCAGGAAAGGTTAGTGGAATGAGTTACTTGGTCCTCTTATCACACAATAATATGAGGTTGATGGTTGTTTTTAATTTGTCAGGTTTAGCTTCTTGTATTGACATTACACATCCATCTGATAAGAGTGTTCTGATATTTACATGTATCATGCAACCACATGTATCTGAGCTTACATAGTAGTACAGGTATACTTATCTCCCCTGTCCAGTTTATTATTTAAAATATTTCGTAACTTGTTATCTTATTAGGATTAAAGCTTTTGGTAGGTAATTCTCTATTTCAATATCTTCAGTACATACATTGAGATACACTTGCTTCTTATTACAGTAAATGCTCATGTGCCTTCAATGAGGCCTATTATAATGACTTTTTTGTGGCTCAACATTCTTTTATTTGGTGAGTGTGAAAAGAATTGGAAGTTTGATTGCTCACCATATTGGGTGCAGTCCTTAGGGTGGTGTTATGTGTAGTAAGCATGGCAATGTAATTTTAAGCTGCAAACTATATAAGTATTACTTCATTAATGATGTTAGATTTACAAGTAATTAATTTATGGCTTCCAGGTTAGAGACGTGCGGCTGATCATGGATCGGAACTCGAGACGATCAAAAGGAGTTGGGTATATTCTCTTGTTCTTTAACTTGTTTGTTGATGCATTATAGCAAGGTTCTTAGACATGCTTCCATGAGGATGATCCTTCTAAAGTTATTTTGCTCGATTATTCAAAAATTCAGATAAGGAAAGAACATCACGTGATGGAGGTTTCAGGAGATAGTGATAATAAATAACTTGAATTTTCATGAATGTTGTAAGGCATAAAAGGTGATGTTTTGAAAAAAGGAAAAATACAATACTTTGCACCACATATTTTGGGATCATTTTTTTTGATAGATTTTGAGCTTGAGGTAATCTACATTCAGAAGCAGATGCAGGTAGTTTGATTTAATTCATGACAGAAGAACAAAATTGATAGTCTATATTATCCATTGTTATCTACTATACTATCTAGATACAAATGTCAAAACTTTTAAGCATGTCCTACTCATGCATCATCTGGTTGCAAGCTGAGAAGCCTTTTTATTTGTTTTGGAACATGGCAGAACTAGTTAAAAAAAGTTTACATGCTATTCACAGTTGTTAAACACTCCCAACGATGTGTATTTTTTCTAAGCAGCCCAAAAGTGAAATCAACATAATGTGATATTCTTTTGAGCTCTCTTCTTCATTTATCACAAACGTTTCCTCAGCAATAGATGTTAACCTGTCCAATGAATTAGATCTGTTAAAGGTTGTCCAGTGAATTAAAAAAATCCCTTTGCAATTACTTTCGCATCAAGCTCTGTACAAGGCTAGAGCCTAGTTCAAATTTAATGAGTCCTCTTGTAGGCTGTCTAAAAATCACTGCAGATAGCTGTAATGTCAACAACAATAGGAGAGAGAAGTATTACTAAGTACTTTAGTGAATTATGTTTGCCTGCAAAAATGAATGCATGTAATATTATGGGAACCTTAATTAATGCTCGAGAAGTTATGAGAACCTTTGAGCATAGTTAATGTCAAGTTCATTTCACACTTACTATTTAACCACATGAAATTGCTTCTATAGATCTCCATTCTTCAACGATGTCTTAGATAGCTTACTCTTTCTCCATTACCATAGTTTTTACTCATATGGCATGTTATTCCTATCTATCTTGCATAATAAGGGTCACTTTCTCCATTACCATAGTTTTTACTCATATGGCATGTTATTCCTATCTATCTTGCATAATAAGGGTCATGCTTTCCGTTTTCTTTTGTGTTTCACCATTAAAGATGTCAATTTTAAATATAGAAGATTAAGCAGGAGACTGTCATTTGTTGTATCTGTAGAGGAAAGAGGCATAATTATTTTCTCTGCTGAACATTTTTTTTGTTTGAAGGATATGAAATATGAGCAGGAGCAACAACAACATCAACAACAAATGGTGTCTAACTTAAAGTCACAAGTGAAAGCTATGTAGGAACTTTTTTTAGGTAGCCATCTTCATTGACTCCTCAAACTCGAGAACATGTGCAGGACCAGGTAATTATTTTTTTATAAAATCTCTTATATATTTTTATGATTGACTACTTGCACTTGAGAAAATGAGATTTTTACTTAATAAGATAATAATTGCTTAATTGATATTTCTTAATTATGTGATTTTTTAATTTTTCAGGCTATCCATGCAAGATTAGGAGAGAGGGTAGCTCGAGTCTTCTTTTGACGATGATTAGAGATGAAAGAATGTGTCTTCCCCAAACTTTTATTTTAATTTGTTTTAGATAGTTTCACGTATTTTCCTTTAGAACAATTGGGATATTAACACTTGTTATTAGTGTTGAAAATTTGAGGATGGTGGGATTTTATTTATTGATGTTATTAATGAATGGAGTTTTTGATTTCTCTTTTATTCATTATTGGATATTTTTAATATATTTGTGTTATGAATCTTAGTTTCATGTTGAGAATAATATGATAGTTGCCTATGAATGGAAAAATTTTCATTAATGTAAATTAGAAATTTGTAGTCTATAATGACGGTTTTATAAACCACGTTTTGTTCATCAACGAAGGGAAAGCACCATCGTTGATAGGTTACTAATTACCCACCATGATGATTTTTACGACGATATCTAACCGTCATTAATTAGCCTTCAATGACGGGGTTGTCACCCGTTGTTATACAATAATAACGAGCGTACAAAACCATCATTACACAATAACAACGGGAATGAAAACCCATCATTTAAAGTAACGACGGGAAAATATCCCCGTAACTAATGGTAACGACGGGAAAATATTCCCGTCGCTGATGGTAACGACGGGAAAATAACCCCGTCACTAATGGTAACGACGGTGATAATTACCGTCGTAGATATTAACGACAGTAATATATTCCGTCGTTAAAGACTCTATAACGACGGGTAGTATATCCTTTCGTGACCCTTTAGCGAAGAGGGCTTCAACGACGGGTGACGAAGGGATTTTTTCCTGTCGTTAGCATACAATAACGACGGTTTTCAGCTCTTTAACGAAGGGAAATCCTTTCGTTAAAGGCGTAATTTCTTGTAGTGAAGTTTAAGGATGTTTAAATTTAGTTTAAGTTTTAGGTTCAAGTTTGTTTATCTGAAGTGATTTTCACAAGAGGAAGAAGAGATCATCTTTTCGTGTTTGGGCTTTAATCTCACCTCTTTCGCTCTTATTTTTTAGAGAAGATTTCTTAACTCAATCACTAGCTATTTATAAGTTTTGTTTATCATTTTTATAAGCTAGATTTCAATTGAGTTTATATTACTTGTTATCTTTCACGTACAACCACTTGAGCTTAAGTTATTATCACACATTGTGTAATTTGGGTTGTGGGTGTGATTGAGTGAGCTTACACTTAGTGCTCATCTTGTATTAGAGAACAAACCATTTGTTATTATGCTTATAGTGAGATACACTTTGTAATATACTTGTACACCAAGAGGAGTGTGTGGTGAGAGACGGGGTCAATTCTAAGAGGAGTAACATCGGTAGTAAAACCTAGGAAGAGGTTGTAAATTCGAGTACTTAAGGAAGGTGATACGGGCTAGGCTAATACTTATAGGGTGTAGAGTATGATTGCAAGTGTGTGTGATTGTGAACGTTTTCGGTGAGCTAGAAAACCGAATATGAGGTGTAAACGTTTTGGGTGAATGTTGAAAACCCATTGTGATAGTGAAATTCTCCCCGAGAGTGGGGAGGGGAGACGTAGGTCAAAAAGACCGAACTCCGTGATCATATTGTGTGTTTGAGTTTGCCTTAGCGTTACATTTGTGCTTATTATTTATTTTATTTTATTTCGCCCTTAGTTTAATATCCTTACATATAATCTTCTTGAATATCATTCTTGCTAGGATAATTAGTTAATAAGTTTTTAATTGGCATTAATATCGGATTAGATTAACATATACCCTATTCACCCCCCTCTAGGGTAATTTCGGTTTGTTATTTTCAATATTCATGGGACTGGTTGTGATATTTCCAAATGTTAGTTTGTAAAATTTTCAAGGGAATTTTTATAATTTTGAAACTTTATAAAGACTCATTGTAAAATTTTCTATGGGCTATTTATAATTTTAGAAACTTTAAGTAGACTATTTGGAATTTTTAGATTTCAATGTAGTTTTTATAATTTTAGATTTTGTCGGGTTAGCGTATCATTTTTAGATTTTGAAAGTGCTAATTATAATTTTCTTATTTTTTTAAGGGTTTATTCAGAATTTTAAATTCTAAAGGGTTGTTTGTAATTTTTTGATATTTTACGTGGCTATTGGAATTTTAGATTTTTATGGAGTTATTTGGAATTTTTGAAGGGATTGTTGTCATTTTTGGACTTTAATGGGAAAGTTTATGATTTTTAGGGTGCTATTTGTGATTTTCAAAATTTTTAAGATTTTAATTGTAGTTTTGAATCTTAAGACTTGTTTACTAATTTTTGTTTTTTCACATTGTTGTTTTGCAGTTTTAAATTTTTAAACAGTTTTTTTTTGTATTTTTTGGATTTTCCAGGGAGTTTTTTGTAAGTTTGAAATTTTTAGAAGGGTTTATTTATAATTCTCTAAAATAGAAAAGACCATTTTTTATATAAAGGAGTTACTTGATTATTAAAATTTTATAATTAAGGATAATTATAATTTGGTGAAAACTCTTAGATAAAGATAGGATTAGGTATCGACATATAAAATTAAGATTTGACTATTTGAGTTTTCTAACTATGGATAGTTTTAATTGATGGGATTATATAATAAAGATAATATTAAGTGTCCACGTGTTATCTCCTAATATGATAGATGGAGACATGTTTTTATACCTTTATGAAGAGTTCACCAATTTCTCTTTATATATAAAGGAGTGATTAGTGTGTTAGTATATAAAGTTAGATTCAAATAGGAAGGACTATGTTTTTAAACTTTCAAATTCATCATTAACTAATAATTCAGATGAGATGATAAACTTTGGTTAACTAAAGATAACCTTTCTAAATTTTTACTTTATTATCATCATTAGGATATGATAATAATATAATATCCAAAATGTTAAGGATAATATTAATCATGAAATTTTTTTTCGAACTTACACTTTTATAAGGAGTATAATATGATATGATAATATAATTAGCTGCATAATTAGTTGACAATTTGATGCGAATGCAATTGCTGATGCCTTTTGCGAGAAATCAGATTGTGTAAAACTCGAACGATCCAAGAAACGAGGATGATTTTCGGTCAGATTTCGACGTGCAATTTTAATGAACCGTAACTTTTGATTCCCTCCATAGAATCACAATTATTATATATTTTCGGAAGCTCGAGAAGTACTCTACAAGTTGAACTACATTGTGATTCCAATCAAGTTTTAGAGTCAAAGGAAATCGTCTTTGCGCTCAAACCACGTGTCAAAGAGTTTCGATCTAATCTAGTTTTTAGTTCTTATGAAACGTTTTCTTTTCTAGGAAGTCTATTTGTTTTAGGAAATATTATTGTAGTACTTTTACATTGTTTTATACCATATATAAGGGGAACGAATTTGTGAAACTCTTTAGATTGGTTATTATTACTTCAAAAAGTTTTCAATTCCTAAGGTTCTCTTGGGTTTGTGCCGCTTTGCTCATACGAGGACAGTGGTTATTTTTTTATTACGCTTTCGCTATATCAAAATCTCAAATAAACTGGGATAATTACCCAGGGCTTTTTAAAAATTGCTGTTTTTAAAAAAAAACATGGATATTACAAATTTGTTAGCGCAAGAAGTCTTGTTCATATCAATTCCTTCTGATACCCGTAACAACTCTGATCTTTAATCTGTTCATATCCAAATGAAACAAAAGCAAATTAACTCATGTAGGTAATGAAATCTTAAGAGCTGCTAGTTCGTCAACCTACTGGTCAACAAATATGAATATGTTTGAGAATGGACACCCCACATAAACAGTCGATATCATGGATAGCACAAAAAAGTTAATCTTAGTTTAGTACTTTCATTTGCTAAGTTGTACATATTTGGAGTGCAAGTTTCTACTTTTCTCTTTAGGGTGTGTTTGTTTGAAAAAAAAGTGAGAAAGAGGTGGAAAGACACTGTGCGGTGAGATCAGTTTTTTCCTCCTTTTGTTTTTCCTCCCCCCCCCCCCCCTCTCTCTCTCTCTCTCTCTCTCTCTCTCATTCTTTATCAGAGAAAAGGGGAAAAAACCTTAGAGTTGTGAAGAACCACCGCTGCTATCTCTCGTTCTTCATCAGACAAAAGTGGAAGAAAAACTCGTAGATCTCTTCACCTACCGCTACATCTTTCCCTCTCTATCGTTCTCATCTTCAGAACTGGGAGAAAAGAGCCGATCATTAAAAGGCCTAAAGATCTCTTTTTTCAGCCTATCGGTGTTCAGATCTACCCATTTTCTGCCCATCTGAATCACGCAATTGCCATCAAAGCAAAAATTAAGGTAAAGATTTGTGTTTTGAATAAAAATTAATTTTTTTATCAGTTAGACTCTTATTTTGGCACATGATGTGAAGATTTTTCAATTTAATTCACCTAGGCTAATGTTCTATTTTATGCTCATATTTTAGTCAGATCACAACTATGATGAATGTCACATAATTCTGCGAAATGTTTTATTATCAACTATAGTGTTAGTTTGATACATGTTGTGTTAAATTTCATGCTCAATTTTTTTTATTAAACTGGTCTATTGTTCAATTATATGCTCAAATTTGTTTTGCCTTTCACCTAGACTGTTAGCTTGTAATTTTCAATTTTTTGTGAATGATCGTTATTTGAAGAATTGTTTATATATTTTTATGAAGTAGACTATTAGTTTGTTACAAGTTGTGTTCAATTTCATGATCATATTTTTTTTAATAATTGTTGGAATTTTTTTATGAAGTAGACTATTAGTTTACTACAAGTTGTGTTCAATTTGTCTAATACTTGTATATTTTTTCAACATGCCCATATGCTTCACTGGACTGAGAAGCTATCTCAGGTTATGCAATCACATAAAGGTGAATACAGTGAATTGGTTCTTAATAAGTTACATGATAAACTTTTTAGAGATGAGAACGAGGCAAGGTACTTTATAGGTAAATTTGTGGAGATTCAGTCTAGGTATCTTGCCACGTTTGTGAAGGATAATGGGCTAGATGTTGAAGGCATCTGATCCACATAGAAGTGTTTTTGTTTTGGTTGATACTTTTGTTTTTTGGGTGCTTTACATGTCTAACCATTGCATGTTTATATTTGCACAGATCCTTCACCATCTGTGATTACTTTTGTGACACTTTAATATGCATCGGGACAAATATAAATGAGGCACTGTTATTGTTAATGATGATTTGTAATATATTTATTACTAATGGCTATGCTTTATATGTAACATAGTGTATGATCCTGCTCATATCTGTTGAACTCATTTTCATGTTAATTATGTTGCTCTATACCTCAGTTTGATCCTACACTTAATTGTATTTACACAGTTGTGTTCAATTTCATACAAGATTGTGCTTTTTGCAATCAATATATGATGTGAGCATAAGCTCTTTCAGGAGACAAAGTTATTGTGCTAATTCAAGGTTAGTGAGGGCTATGATGATGATATTCTTTTAAGAAAGTAATGTTAGATATGCAATCAAAGTATCTACGTGCACATGTTTAGGTGAGGCAAGAAATTGCAGCCTACATTGCTAGTAGGCATTCTTTGGTGTGACATACATTGATGAAATTAAAATATCTAAGCCCCTATTTGTTGATTTCTCATAATTTCATTCTCAAAATCTACTTCAGCTCTATGTGATTTTTGATATATGACTTAGTTGATGCTTTAGCTCAACCAAGTCATATGCTAGTTTTCATGTTCTTTTCTGAATTGATGTTTCTTTGCTGCATTTTTTCCCATGATTTTTTTGGGCTCATGAATTTTTTTTGTGGAATGCTTCAGCTCAGCTAACTTCATATGTTGGTTTCCATCACTTAGATAAATTAATGGAAAAATATTTTCTCTTGTGTTGTTTTGTTTTCCATGCAGTCAGTGTTTATTTTTAAGACCACATTAAAATTTCTTGGACACTTTTGTCTTAGCCTTGTAAGTTAACTTTTTTGTTGTTGCATTTTCATGTAAATGATAGAAAATGTTTTAGTAGAACGGCAAGACAATTTGTTCCATGTTCCTATGAATTTCATTCTATGTTCCAATGAGAGAGTCAAAATTAGAGCAAGCTTTAATGTAGCTATTTGCTGACGTGCGAGCCTCGGTTCTTTCTTCAATAGGTTTGCTTTGACTAACTGATTTTTGTTGGCAACTTCATCACTAGTCTCTAATACTAATTTAGCAATCTGTCCAACATGGGCCAAGCAAAAAAAATTGCATTTTCTGTTTGGGCATTGATGTAGGATGCTTAACGAACAATTTCATGGAGGATTCAGACAATCACAAGCTAAATACAGATTTATACGTATTATTGACATTCGCAAATTGACTTCCAAAATGTAACACTTATATCTTTCGACCCAAAAAGCGGATTCTGATATATTATATGTGGAAATCACCTATCTCGATGAAACTGAGCCAATCAGATTATCAGATTTTTAAAATCTCATCAGTAATACCCAGTTTTGGCTGAAATCTAAAAATAATCAGTTTTTAGTTTATTTTTAGTAACAAAGTTGGAGTTTATTTGGATTAGGAAATAAATTCAATATTAGAGTCAAATTAGATTAGGAAAAAAAATTATTTTTGATTCATGATTTGTTTCCTCTATTATAGAGTCTTTTTAGGATAGAATTTGATACTTTCTATTTCTTTGCAATTCTAGTCTTATTAGGAGTCTTATTTGTTTTTCTATTTAAGAAGAGTAATGTAACCCCAAAGAAGAATAGATTTTCATCAATAAAATTTCTCTTTTAATATTTTCTTTGTAGATTCAGATATCGTTCTTTGTGGATTCAGAGAACACCCATTGGTGGATTCCGAGGTTATCACTTTCACGCTGTGTCAGGTATGTTGCACAACCCCAGAAATATTTTCCCCCATTCTTTCCATTCTTGCAGAGCTTCAATGGAGTGAGAATGATGCAAAAATATCTAACTTCATGTGCATGAAACCCTTCTGATTTCATCATCTTATAACAAACTAATATTTGTGTTTGTTTTGGGTTGGAACAAACTGCAAATGCAAGATTCTTAAAATGTTTCACGGCTGCCAAGGTATACATTTAGTCTATTTATAAACAAGTTTGTGCTCAAATGCTTTTCTCCCTCACTGGTCCCTCTTGTTATTGTTGGTTTTCTGATTGTTGGTGAGTTTTTTACCGTTGGTGCTCTAACATGCCCGTTTCTTTGTTTTATTAAGTGGTTTTGGTTTCTATAATGGCCTTTTTCTCACTGATTTCTAGATTCAAACTGAGATTTTATTGGCCTTTTTCTCACTGATTTCTAGATTCAAACTGAGATTTTATTGGCCTTTTTCTCACTGATTTATGGATTCAAACTGAGAATTTATTTCACCTGTTCATATTGTTGGCTCAATTGTAACCCATGTGATTGACAAATGCTTCAGCTTGTTGTGTAATTATATGTTGGCTGCAAACTGATTATATGTTGGCTCAACTATAACTCATTTTAGCAATTTCTCATCTTTGTTTAGTCCATATCTTGCTTCATGAACTAAATCTTTGTTGCTGTGTGTGTTTGGAAGTTCATCGAGGGTTCCCTTGTTGCCTGCAAATTTTTTTTGATGGATCCAAACTAAGAATTGTTTTCAGCTCTCATATTTATATGTCATTGTTATTCAGGTTATGAACACTCAATTCATGACAGTTTTCTATTTGATTTTGTTGTTAATAATTGGGCTATGATGATGGTATTGCTTTGAGAACGCATTGTAAGATTTGCAATCAAAGTTTCATGTTGCATATGTTTAGGCGAAGCAATTTTTTACACCCTACAATGCTAATACATAAACTTTGGTGTGGCATACGATGATGAAATAAATTTATCTGAGCCCATCATTGTTTGAGTACACTTTGCTATATGACTTCTAATATGTGTATTCTTTGATATGTTGCAGCTTCACCATTTCTACAACCCATGTTGTTGACAAATGCTTCAGTTTCTTTTGTAAATATATGTTGGCTGCTAAATCTATGATGGTTTGTAAATATTGTTCATATTTGTAAATATATGTTATTTGAGCTCATCATTGTTTGGGTTCATCTTTGTTCAGCCCCTATCTTGCTTCAGTTCATATTGTTCAGTTTGTTATGAATCAAATTATGATTGCTTGGTATGTTTGTAAATATATGAAAGTTTATAATTTTTCTTTCACTATTTTTGTTGGAGCCAAACTGAGAAAGTAGATTGTAAATCATATCCAACAATTTTTTTTGGTGAAACGAACAAAATAAACACTTTCCAAGAAAAGTATTTGGAAAAGCATGGAAATGATCTTTTACTATAAGATTTGTTTTCTTAGATATTAGGGGTACGCCTTTCTATATGTGTTGTTGCAATAAGGCGTGTCAAATCAATAACGAAATCTCACAATCGATAAGTGCACTATGAACATCTTGCTAATTGGTAATTAAACATAGAGAAAGTAGATTGTGACATGTGTCACATTATCAATTTTAAATCAGTAATTAATATATAATGTTACTATAATTATTATTAGTACAATTTTAGCAACCTTCTCTTTACAAGATAAAGTTTTTAAAAAATATATTACTACAATTTTGTAGGACGACAATTAGACCACGCCATCATTAAAAATCACCAATTTTAAAATCTATGCTGCCTATTTATGGTCCAATTACTTATATACTTCCTGTATTAATAAAGTATTTATTTTTCTTATTTCTAAGACCTCAGTGGAAGTTGCTATTAAAATAAATAAATAAATAAAAAAGACATCAGTGGAAGTTGACATGCAACCTCCGGCTGTTCCGTGGCCCCCACAAACTGACCTTCTTCCGATTCATTTTCCTCGTCCAAAACGGCAGCAGAAAACTTTGATAAAAAAAAAAAAACGGCAGCAGAAAAAGGTCAAAAAGGCGCCTTCTTTGGACCCCATCGAAATATCCGCCCAAACTATAGAACAAAAATTTAAAATAGATTCTTTTTAAAAAGTAATTATCATCTTCGATTTATTTGTAATTTATTTATCAAATTTGATCTGCTTTCAACCACACCGGCATTGTGGGCTGAAGCGTGAGTTGAAATTAAGTCAAATTTGATAAGTAACTTTTATAGACTACACATGCGAGAATCCGGTGTAGTTTAGTAGAAAATAAAACTCCACAAGATTCTCAATCCCTTAGGCCTCGTTTGGTAGGCGGGAATGGGGTGGAATGGAATGGCATTCTCACTTCCCATTCCTTCATACCAAACAAACCAACTTTTTAGATGTTGGAATGACCATTCCCAGGGAATGATCATTCTCACTTTTTGTGGGAATGGGCATTCCAAGTGAGAAGATAGGGAATGGTCATTCCCATTCAAGAGAGAATCAAATCAGTTATTTATTTTTTAATTATACCCCTATTAATCAACTGATTTCCACATTAGTAATTCTGACATCCTTTTCATATGCAATATGCATCAACTGTGGATATCATTCTTTATATTTTTTTGGACCTATGAAAAATACGATAATCTTTTATTTATTTTTCTTTAATTTTTTAAGACTAAGAAATAGTGAGTATTGTTTAAAAAATATAAATAGAACATACACTTGAGAGATAACATGCGCAATAGTATAACATGCACAGAAATTAGTATAACATATGCATAAATAAAATTGTTTAGTTATTATCATTAATGTTTATTTTTATCTTATTAAAAATATATGTTGTTGTAAGGACATTATTAGAAAATGCGATTCCATTCTCACTTGTGGACAAGTGATACCAAACATGGGAATGGGAACGAGATTTTCATTCTAGCCTCATTCTACAAAAGTACCCAAACATGAGAATGGGAATGACCATTCCATTCCCACATACAATCCATTCCATTCCTTCTTCCATTCCATTCTCACTTATGTCCATTCCCGCGTACCAAACGAGGCGTTAGGTCCTGTTTAGTAAATGGTTAATAAAGAGGGATTAAGGAGAAAAATTAAAATAGTTAGCCTATTCGATAATCCGAATAATTAAATTATTAACACGTTAAATAAGTTTTACTTTAGCCCTTATGATCATACTGTTTGGGAATAACAATAATTTTGACTATTTTATTTACAAATAGATAGGTTAATTGTTAAACCTTCTACATAGGAGTAGTAGTAAACCCTTCATTTTGAGGGGTTAACTCATCTTAAGCTCTCTAGAAGGATTATATTAATCATTCTGTATTTTTTACGTTTGACAAATCATAGAGGATCAATCACTTGAACTCTTGAATAATTTTTTTTTTGTTTAGCGGTTTACAAATCAGTTACATCTCCTTAATCCCTTACCTAACCCATTGCTAAACGACACCCTAATCCTGCAGAGTTTATAACATCCAAACTGCACAAGATTCACAATCCATGTTCGAATCTTAGCCAAATAATTTACTATTTTTCATATTTAGCTTCTGAATAGATAAATAGAAAAGTAAAAAAAAAATGTTGGCAATGATAAGATTCGAACTCAAGATCATTCAAGTAATCGAAGCCAACTCTTTGAGAGTTAACCAATTGGCTAACTACATGGGAAATTCCATATAGTTTGTATGTCATAAACTCCAATTACCCCTTAAGTTTATGAAAGAGCCTATTTTAAAATCTATCCGAACCTCTTTCTTCTCCTTCTCCCTACTCTTCAACTTCTCCTCCATTAAGTCACTGCAACGACCGAGAAAACGACCCCTTCCTCTTTCTCTTCAAAACCCTAATTTGACTCTTTTCGATCCAAATTGATGGCCGTCGCCGATAAATCGGGAGCATCTCCGTCGAGATCGCCGAAGGCGGAGCCCGAATCCGCGTCCGAGACATCTTCCGTCAACTCCGGCGAGTCTTTGGATCGGAGAGACGTCGACATCATGGTAAATTTCGCTAGTTTCTTTCATTGGTTCGTGTCGTTTGTAGTTTGAAGATGGTGGTTGATTGTGATTCTTGATTTAGACGCAGTTGTCGCCGTCGAGGAGCGAGGAGTATCGGC